TCGGCAGCGATGCGGTCGAGTCGGCGGGCCCGGCCCTGTCGCCGGCCTCGGTCTGCCACGAGATATTGGAGAAGTTGTCCTGGTCGATGACGGCCATTGTGTGAGGCTTGGCGACGTGCGTACAAGTCTCAGGCCTGCGACAGTTGGACAATTGGGTTGGTTAGATGATTGTATCCTTCGTATCTTCTTTGTAAAAGAATAACTGTAAATGAATGTATCTTGATTCTGCCGAGGACCAGCCGTAAAAGGTAGCAGGCTAATCCATTGGTAGGTGGGCAATAGGCTTGGTCAGTTCGTCGGCGTGCGTGTTGGGAATTCGTCGTTGGTGGGGAATGTTTAAGTGCCACAGCCTCACTTCTGATGAGAGCTGCGAGCTGAGCACAGGCGACATGCTTACGCATACGTCACGCACTCGTTACAGATATAAACCTTATGCCAATTCCCGATCTACATGCATTTAGGTACACTCTAACTATATGCATCTGGTGAGGATATGCTTTTAAATAAACGAGTCATCACATTACCTACGCGGGTGGGGGGGGTCCCTAGAAATGGTTGCGCAAGGCTTGCCAAAGGATTACAGGGGCCTGAAATGAAATTTTCTGGCAATTCACTTTCTTGAATTGCGTTCTTAAAAATAAATCATTTTTAACAGAATTTCTTATAATTACTATTATGTTTTGTTGTACAGAATTTCAAAGCGGAAATGATTGCTGGCTGGAAATGCTTACTAAGCGTGGTAATGATTTCTGCTCTTGAAATTCTATTGTGGCTAGGTGTGGCGGGTGCAAAAGGTGGGCCCGCCAACCCTGTATATAAGGGCTGGCAGGTACCCCTGCCTCCTACCTTCCATTTCTACCTTTTATTTCTTTCTACCTTCAATTCTTTTTTTAATGGGCTACAGTGGGACTCGAACACTAGGTCTCTACAGCCTACAGTTTATGGCCTATAGTCTACAATCTACGATATTTACCACTATACTACGGCTACGAATCTACAGTTACTACGCGCATGTAGGTAACAGCCCCAATTGATATTGATATTCTAGGTCCCAAAGGCTAATTGTATAATTGGCTGGCTATAGTGGGTCATAGGCAATAGTGGGGTGTATGGCTACAGTGGGGTAGCCGATTGGGTTACCTGCTGGCAATGATTTCGCGCTGGTAATTTTGACGTGGCTTGGCAAGGGCAATGTGGCTTGGTAAGGGCAGTGTGGCTTAGTCATCCGTACAGGGTTGCAATACGATGTAGGGCTGCAAGCGTTCATTTCAAGCCAATATTTCTAATTGAAATTCTATCCGTTTGAAATAAGTGACCTCTGCAGACATAAATCATAATAGAAATAGTCCGGTTATTGTGTGGCAAGGCTTGTACCTTGGTTTAGGATTGCAGGGGCTGGTAATTCTCAAATCACGCTTTCTAGAAACCCCCCCCACCCGCGTAGGTAGCACTGGGCAGTCTAACTTTATAAACCTCTTTTCGTATATGACCTCTAACGATTAAAAAATGAAAACCTGCTAGATAGTACATGATTCTTACAAAAATTATCTATACCTGCACATTCCGAGTTTTACTATGCTTTCAATACAAAGCCCATATCATTCCGATTGTCGTTGATGACTCGTCCCCATTCCAATAACAGCCTGAATAGATATACTTCCATGTCTTCTTTCCTCAGGGCCTTTTCAGCCCATTTTCGCCCTTCCTGAGCGATCCATTTCGCATCCCCTGTTCGCGGCGGCGTGATCTGCTTTCGTCCATTGAGCGTGCCACGACCATCCAAGCCGATAAAGTACGACATGGTGCTATGCAATGCATGATATCGTGCATCTATGGGGATGAAGTGTACCCAAGGCATTAGTCGTTCTGTGAACCATTGCTGGAATATCGTTGTTAGTACAGGTACACTGTTTGACTGCAAGACCTGCAGCAGGTCTCGCGGTGGGCCGTCGCTGCTGTCGAGTAACATCACGTAACGACTCTCTACCTCGGTAACTGGTGGCTCCAATCCAAACTCGTTCCGCATAAGTTCACAATTCGAGTCTTTGCAGCCCTCGGACGGACCGGTCAGTGAGATCTGCAACGGTAGAATACTATTACCCTCAGTAACAGGGACATCTTCATATCGAAATCTGCTGTTCAAGCCTCCCCCTATCCCCAATAGCATAGGGATGTTGTCCCCAGCTGTAGCATTCTGATATAAGTGGACTAAACGTAGTCGATGACTACCATGAAGCGACTCATAAGTCACTGGTGGTATGTCTTCGACGTTACCCTGCCACAAGACCATGTCCTGTTTTTGAGCGAAGGTTCTCCCATCATATTCCTGTTTCAACCCACCTCTCGAAAAGGGGATCAAGACATCGTTAAAACTAGTCGTTTTCGACCCACTAAATAGGGGCAGTAGATTCTGGTGCAGTTTTAAACGATGAGGAATGGTATGAAACTCGTGGAGGTTGAAGATATCAGGCTGATGGCACGGATCAAGAGACATGTGCCAGTTTTCGAGGAATTGTGCCTTACTATGAGGTGAGGCGCATGAGGCGCAAAAGTCTCTGACGTCCCAATTGACGAGACTACGACTAGGCGAGCCGGGGGGGCAAGCAAGAATCTCGAGCTGCCGGAACTGGTGCGCCGGGATGTACGGCACGCCCGAATCCACTGATCCTGCCGCCGGTATTGTTCGCTTGTCCACTGCGACGTCTTCCTTCGTTGATATGTCTAAACTATCGCGTTTGCCTAATCGCTGAAAGCCCGATCGAGTAGCTTTCATTCGTAATTGGTTTATCTCATTCCAAGGAACGAGAACCCTCGGCCGTTCTTTCAGATTTATGGCAAGCTCCATTACTGGAAGATGCTCCGCAAACGCAGAGATCAGCGTCACGACCTCATCCAATATTTCTTGTTGCGAGGGATCAGCTGCGCCTTTGTGAGTAGCTTTGCCGTCGGCAATGCTGATGATACCGATATCAGGCTGGCTCTTGAGGAACTCAAGTCCATCCCGAATATCTTGTGGTTGGAGGCCCCAGAACGGTAATATATCTTTCTCGATCTGATCAAACTTGTCGATAACGACCGACTTGGTTTGCCGAGCGAACTCAAACCATTTGTCAAAATTCGGTGGAGGTGTACGTCCGCGGTGTCTCTCTCCGTATTCTTTGACCGCTAGATTGAGAGTTGTGCTAACTGATGCATGTCGCAACCAGCGATCCGCTTCCACTCGGCTTTTGTACACAAGCTCATCCACAGGATGATGAATAAACAACCTGGGTGTCAGGACGATATAGACGCTTGAAGCAATTATTATGCTAACAAGCAATAATAAGACGGCAGCGCGCCTGATAAAAATGATGGAGCGCATATTGTGGGCGTACGCAAAAATGGTAAACCCGATCGAAATTGTCCCCATTACCAGTAGCAGCTGTGCTGCGGATGCTTGCTGGTACGTGCCGACCAATGACATGTTACCAACACTAGCCAAAAAGCCGTACAAAAGGGTAGCAATCGTGGTAGGTTCTAGCGGCGATGTGTCGCATAGCATTAAGGATGCAGATATGACAATAGTAGCTACAACAATGCCGGTGCTCAAGGTGTCGAAAATATAGAGAGAATTAACTCCTCCAAGAGATTGGTACCCGACAATCTCGCCACGACGTGAAAGCTGCGTCGCTATTGACGGGACGAATGTTGCAAATGAAGTGACTAATAGAATGCCACCAAGGGTTCGCAGTCGACTTCTGGTTGTTCGCGCCCAAGAGAGAACTCTCCAGGAAAGAATGATAATGGCCGCATCCGCGAAAAGACCGGCCCACTGGGTGAATACCACGAACGACCCTCGATCAGAAAAGGAAGAACAGAAGTATGTAGACCGAGCTGTGAAGTTGCTGGCCGTGTATGTTCCATAGCTGAGGAGAATAGCTCCAACAAGCAGCATAATGGGCGAGCCTTTGAGCCATTCCTTCAGGTCGTCTATCACGCTTCCCCACATGTCTTCAGGTTCATCTGATACTACCGGCGGTGGTGGGCGATGTGAGATAAACCTGTAAGCCGCGAACAGCAACGGCAAAAATGCCTATTGGGCCAAGTAAGTTATGAGCCATGCTAATGTCGCAATGAGATACTCACTTCGATACCTGCCGCAGAGCATTGGAAATCACGTAAACTTCTGTACGAAAGCTCCAGTCTAAGAACTATGAGAACAATAATACAGGGTACATAGAATCGGCGTGGTCTTGGTGGCAAGGAGGAGGATGATGCCTTCAAGACAGCATCGGAATCTATGGATGACATTAACAATCGCCTTCATATGAGTAAGAACGGATGAACGAACCAAATCTTCCATCGGCACCGGGCAGCCATTTTGAGAACAGACTCACGGCAAAAGCCGACAAGCCAGAGATAAGTAGCAACAAGAAGGATGAGAGACGTGGTTGGCCTAAGCACCTAAGTTAGCGAGGCTCCTGTAGACTGTGAAAGCCGGATAAGTACTGATTAAAGTGTGCCTTTGCAATGAAAACGATAGCCAAGAAAATGAGACGAGGAACCTTTGATCTCATTAGTAAATTGTTTTATTTATGTCGTTGGCGGTTGTTCGGTAGTGTTTAACTCACCAAACGCCCGTTGACCGCAGGCCGCTGTCAGGGGCCATCGAGGAGGCGGCAGTAGCGGTAACAGCCTCTCTCACATCGACTATGTGGGAGAGTGATTGAGTCGTGAATGTTTATCACTTTATGCACGGCTGTTGGTCGCACGTCAATTTTGGAGATGCAGTATCAAGTCCGAAGACCTTTCAATGCAGTAATGGAGGTTGGTGTTCTAACCCGAGTCCTCGATAAGTAGTAGTTGATGAATACAGTGTTGATTAACTTAATTATACGGTACGTCATCATGAAACTGATGACGAGTCACATGACAAACAGACCGCTGTTGTCGGAAAAACAATAGATCCTTACTGTACACCACAACATTGCACATTCCACTGTCTGCGTGTAGAGTAACTCGGGCGAATGGTCTAGGGGTATGATACTCCCTTCGCATTTCTAAGAACAACTAGAATATCCGCGTCTGGGAGGGGTCCGGGGTTCAATTCCCCGTTCGTCCAATGCGCTTCACATGAATTGTCTTTTTGTGATTTGTGAAGTGTTTATATTTTTTAATTGGCATTGTCTTGAAGTGAATGCATGATAAACGCTCAATCTCAACAGAGAGAAATGTCATTTCAGCATATAGCTCGTAGAAAGAATTACTTACATAACAACTTGTTGCTATGTTAAAAAAAAAACTCTAATGTATATATAGCCTAGCCCGTAGATTAGTGACTCTTACTTCTTACTTTTAACCTTTCGGATAGAAGCGAGAGAAGTAAGCCGTTGACGGAATCGCCCGCTCATAGTAATACGTCTATATAACAACTTGCATTTAACACGCTTAGCTTGAGTTCGTCCTAGCTGTACGTTGAGTAGACAGGCAGGGATAACATCAGCGTTGTATGGTTCGCTTCTATGCACATTTGATCTAACTGACTCTATTGGCCAGCCGCTCCCCGTGAACTCAAATAGGAAGCAGCCCAAAAACAATTCTAGACCACCTGGATGGCTACCCGGATGGACACTCTGTATAGGGCTGATGTCTGTGCCGCAAAAGTATTTCAATTGTCCTAAAAATAAGGACGTGTAATCCTACACACCTGTCTGGCCAAACAGTAAGAGCCTTTGTCCTCTATATATCAAGATAGCAGGACTCATGATACCGGTCTTTCAATTATCCTGATTACTTGACTAAATCGTTCGAGCCTCTATAATACTACTTACTACTGCTACTGCCTCGTGGAAGTAATTTTATCCTCCCTCTACAATATCGCATACATACAATCGTACTACCGACTGATATAAGAACGTAGCAACTAAAACTTTGAAAAGTTTCGCAGGTTATACGATGAAAAACGACAGAATACCATGGAGGCAGAGCAGGAAACTACCGGAACAAACAACTGCCTCGTATGTTGAAGTACCAAGAATGGACAGAAATCAACATGAGTATCATCCGGACGACCATTCGTCCTGGACAGATTCAACAGTGGCGATCGATACATCGGCGTACGGGCACATTCCATTGTTTGTGCCGTGACACAGCGTGTAACATACTATCAGTCCTCGACTCATTAGTGGATATCGTGTCTCTGCATCTTGAATATCGAATAGCTTGAGCGAGTCGACTTATACACCCGATAGTCTCGATCAAGACTAAGGCTCATCCAAGCTGAATACCGGACTTTTGCCTCTCAACGAGGCACAGAACTCCGATTGGAAAAGTGCACGCAATATTCGAAACGTAGGTCCAGTGTGATCGCATCTTGGTTGAGAGGATGCATAGCATGCTATCGATATTAATGCAGATGATACACGACACCTCTTCGGTAACCAACGTCGCCCAACAAACATAAAGAATGTGAAGAAGACTGCTGCGGCGTTACTGCTGACCCATACTTCCTTTCAGGTACTAGATTAAGTCCCCGATACAAAGTCATCGCCAGGAAGAAAACATTGGGAGCTCGGACTACAATGAAGCACCGGAAGAACAAGATAACGCTTTGCGAATGGCGCCGTCGCCTAAATCACAACAGGCTATTGACCAGAATATAACAAGGCAACATCTGGACAAACAATACCGAAGAATATGAGTGAGCCTCAAGGGAATGCGCAGCAGCCACACCGCGCATGACTACCGATGCGACGATAATGAGCAAAGGGGAATTACGGCAGTAACAAGGAGTAGTCACATCGCCATCGCTTTCTCGAATCATCAACGAAGATTGGCCAGTTATACTTCGTAGAAGAGAATAAGATCGATCAGATAACCTAAGGACGACAATACAACGGCCTGTCACGACGCACTTGTCTTAGTAAGAATCGAAGATACCAGGATACAACGGACTTAGGCGATTGGCGGAATTTCTCGAGCGGAGTCACTCGATGTCATGCAAAGCATCGAGACAAACCTAGTGGTTTAGCGCCAACTGTCGAGCAAAGACTAAATCGCTTACACACCTGAGCCAAGACACCTTATGTGGCTATGTCTCTTGCAACGACAAAGCTGGATGATGAGTCGCTGACTGTCTAATGTCAGCTCTCATTCGCTTGGCTCTTGGCGCAAAGTCTCGAACGCATTTTCGTGGTGTTCGAAGGATTGCCCAGCATGCCTAGGAACATCCGCCAGTTCACCGTTGACCTTTCATTTAATAAGAGAAGGGTAAAATCACGAGTTGCTTCACGACAACAACATTGACGCATTCAACGTCGGATATGTCGAATAGCCTAGGCGAGCTAGGCACCATTCACTAGCTTCAGACGATGTCCACTAAAATGTCAAGTCAAACAAAGGATGACTAAAAATGGAAAGGGAATCATTTCCCTTTTAGGCGACCCGAACACCAGCAGGGCAACGCCGATTCCAGCAAAAAATCGGGCTTACCGCACAGACACTCCAACATTAAGCACAGTCGAGACAATACTCTATCGCCTTGTGCCATTCGCCCATGGATCTATCCGTACGACTAAGTGGCAAACATGGATACCTATATTAGGCGGTGATCCGTATTCTATACGCGCATCGACCAATCATCTAGCAACCGCAATGACGATAATTAGGAACATCATTGCATTCGGCACACCGAGTGGTAGGGAGGATCACTTGTCAGGAATCTTGGAAATACAAGTACAAACTCACTTACTCACGAAAGCAGCCTCGGCAACATGCGACTCCACGATTCCCATTAGCAAGCAATTCAATCCTTCAGGTATGTTCAAGGTACGCAGAGAAAGTTGATAACTTGCAAGCAAACTACCCATTGTACCTGTAAAGTTACCAGAGATGGTAAGTAAGTAACGGCACCTCCACGTTCAAATGCTACTGTAGAATCCCCACTACACCCCTACCCGGATGGGGGAGGTGATCATTTTAAAATTATGCTTATGCACATGGAACCCACGACGGAACTAATAAAGGGGGCGTCGGGAACCTTTCAGCATCACACCGACCTGCTGTAGGTATTTGGGTTGACACTCGAGTTAATAGTCTTGATTGGTCTTGGTAGTTAGAAATAAGAACAAAATAAAGAACTTCTTCGACTTGTAACTCTATTGTTCATTATCTAATCATTTTGACCAGTTCTACATTGCTTCTAAAAACCTCGTTTGCTACTTATACACCGCTTCTAGTTATTGACTAAGTTCAATAAATTCTGTCGGTCTTAACCGTGTGTATTTTTAAGCTACTGAAACAACGTCAAAACACTGTTCGTCTAAAATTCTACCATTTAGATCTGTACTAATCCTATTTAGGTGACGGACATATTGTCGACTTAGGTCAGCCACCGGCAGTAACCTGGTAAGCATGGCTTCGGCTCTGGGAACCCTGGTCAGAGTACCCTAGTCAGAATTACCTACAGCCCTGTACTGTACTTCAAGATCAAACTGTAACTTCATCGATACCTTCAATGATCATATAGTGAACTGAAAGTGCGTCTTCGTTCAGGTGTAAGATACAATGCTGTAAGTGTTCCTAGTTAAAAGTTGAACTTCCATTATACATCATGATAGGCGATGAAAGAGTTAGCAAGCACTTGGCTTTGCTTGGTCTCATTTCTCTAGTATACAATCATCTCAGCTCCAACCCATGATTGCGCCACTCCTATCCGCGGATTCGTTATATACCACATAGGATTCTCCAATATTGAATAGCCTAGCCTATCACGATCCAATTGCATTGGCCAAGGTACACTAAGCTTTTATTTGGTACCTCCACATTCTGCTGAAGTACAGACAGTCAGCCTCATCCACCAGAAGAACTAATGTGCTATTTTGGGTGAAATGTACCCATCCAACCCCAGTATGACACCCTTTTCGAGAACGTAATGCAGGATTAGCCAAGACTTGGAATTTGTTCATGGAAGCCATGGATTGTGAAATGGCGGTGCTGAGCTGCAAGGCGAATTCAATATATAAAGCTTTCTGACGCCTCGTGGATTTGCAAATATTCTTTTTCTCCCCACCCCTCTCACAACATTCATTCATTTATTCAACCAACTACCATTCCCTTTTCGCGGCATTCCTAATTCAAAATGAAGTTCTCCGCTGGTCTCGTTTCCCTGGCTTTGGCCAGCAGCGCTGCTGCCGCTCCCAAGAAGTGCCGCTCTACGGACCTTCCCACCACCGTCATTGCCGGTGTCGAGGTTGTCAACACCCAGATTGTCCAGGACGCCCACAACCTGGTCAAGGAGTTCATCGAGCTCCAGCCTTACCTGTACAACCACGTTGTCCGAACATGGCTCCTGGGTGCTGCTGCCCTTAACAACAACGCCACCCTGAAGGCCGAGGTCGATCTCGAGCTCCACGCCGTCGGCTCCCTCCTGCACGATCTTGGTTGGGACCGTAAGTGTTGTCTATAAAAGCTACTATTTTGCCAATTACTAACTTACCTTTCAGAGCGTGACAACACCCCATACAACACCCACGCGTACCGCTTTGAGGTCGAGAGTGGTGCTGCCGCCGTTAACTTCGTCAAGGCTCACCCTGACGGCAAGAACTGGGACGCCAACCGTCTCGAGCGTCTGTACGACGGTATCTCCCTACAGACCCTCATCGGTGTTCCCGACTTCAAGAACATCGACACCCAGTGGATCGTCAAGTCCATTGGCTTCGAGTTCCCCCAGCCGCGGTCTCCCCTCATCCCTGAGCAGTTCTACGACAGCGTCCAGGGCAACTTCACCAACTCCACCCTCTTCCGTGGCACCAACGACACCTTCACCCGCTTCTGTGTCAAGGACCCCTCGACCACCTACAACACCTTCCTCGCTGTCTTCGGTGACGAGTACGTTCCCGGTTACACCGAGAAGGGAGCCCGTCTCTTCGACCTCATCCAGGGTGGTATCCAGCTCGAGCTTGGCCAGTACCCCGACGTCGCTTTCACCCCTCTTCCTCCCGTCTCCTCCTAAATGGGTGGACTCCATCCTCTCTAATGAGATAACCTTCTTGTAACTTATGTTTACTCTTATACAATAGACTTGAACTGAGGTGGTCACCATTACGAGCGTTTACATGGCCT